TCACTTAATTACATCAAAAATCCCCTACTCATGAGTACATCGAAATATACCTGCCCTGACAGTTTCTAAATGCTATGTTGTACATAGCTACTGTTAGTGGACGTCGTGTCTTTCGGGGCCAACCCTGTCCTCTGCAACGTTCGTAACTTGCATGGCAGTGGAGGATAAGACGCGCTATATCGCAGTTAGCTTGTAAATCACGACGGTCCGAAGCTGTCCCCCGTGGCCCAGTGGCAATAAGCTGCTGACTGGCGGTTCAATCCGCTGGTGGTCATGGGTTTCGAATCCTAATGGATCCGATGGATGCGCACTACTGATGATGCCCAACAGGCTGAAACTGCAGTCTAGTGCTTTTCCGGGCATGTGGACGACTATGTGATTTGGAAACTGACTGCGAAGAACCTCACTTAATTTATTTAATTTGTCTGCGCGGAGTACAACCCACAAGAAATGAATCCTTCGCTCCGACTAGCGAGCTATATACAAAGCAAAGGATCTATAACAAGGACGAAGTGAGTTGCAATTTAGACCGAATCCAAAGATTTGAATGAATGCAAAGCACAAGCAAACTGGTACCTGCGGTTAACACAATCCATTTAAGGATCATGTCTAGTGGAAACACGTCGAGAACAATGAGCATTTTTGGCGTGTTGTTTGTGAGGAAGGAAGAGCGAGAGAACCGCTCAGCACCGTCATTTCACGCACCACGCTCCGAGAGCTAGGACAAGTATTGCATCTACCAGCACACCGACTCCCGCGATGTACGTCGCCTGCGCGATCGGAGTCTGGATAGTAGGAGGTGAGGTCGACCGAGTAATGAAGACCTCCCACATTCAACTTAGCGTTCGTAGATGTCTTCCAACTGCCGGGTTGGGGCCCGAAAGGCGATGAACACGTTTGTTTGGATATACTTGTTGACATGGTGAAAGGCCGATCTCAACGACGTTTATGTTGAGTTTCACGGTTCTCCACCTACCCACAGCTTCTTTTACAAATCGCGATCCAACACTCGACGCATGAGTGGGTCCTACACATCATATTGGTTTATAGTCAGTAATGTTTATTATCTTGCTCCTTTCATGTACCAAATTGTATTGCGATACAATAGCGGAGGCGTTTATAATCTTTAGCTAACGTGTAATGATGATGATGATGATAATGACAACCCACTTACTGCGTTCGTCGTCTTTCAGATCCGGACGAAGAGAAACGGCGCACTGTTTCAACATTGAATATGGAACGCGAATGAACACATAGTGCTCTGCATGGTTCCGACTACGATTAGAAGTGGACTGTTCACAGCACACCTCGGCCTCCATACAAGAGTGTAATTCCTCCCCCTTCGCATAGTTTTGTGGGTTCGGTATGGTGAAACAGGCAGCGACCTGATGAGCAACGCGAACCTGATGATCGCTTCGTTTCACACCAGGGGCTGAACATGAAGATGAGATAAAAAGCCAAAATTCCGCTGCTATCCGGTGTTCACTCATGAATACCTGAGGAGGAAACAAGTAAGCGTTAAACATCGGAAACGATATGAAAGTGGTGTGGTACAACTTCAGACCAACAGCTTGCAAATATAAGATAAGAGGGTAGAAGTGAATGCAGGACTGCTTAAACTTAAAAGTACCATGGTATGAAAAGAAAACCTCTTTGAGGGTATGATGACAATAGGCGGGAACAACATAGAGACACATAAACGGAGGAGGCGAAGGGTATTGCGGACAGTGGCCTAGTGGCTCAGAAATTTGATGAGTTTAAGTGAGTCAGTAAGCAAAGAGCACGGAAAAAACGGATGATAAATCGTAGTGAGTGAATCAGTGAGGTGGATCACACAATCAAGTTGGCAGAATCCAAAATAATGTATGACAGTGGGAAATAGAGGAAATGGGTAAAAAAGGAACGTTGATTAAAAGCGAAAGGGTTATCAAATTAAAGAGTACAGAGCCAAATGTAGGCAACTGAATACAAAAAGACGTTTAAAACGCTTCATATCTACGCAACCATAATACAAGTGCGAATATTAAAACAAACCGATATGCGAACGTTAGTAAGCGGACAATATGCATCAAACCAGTCCGCGGGAGTCTCAAATCACGCTCCAAAAACCCGCCTGCTTATTTCCCTGTGTCGTAAACGCCAGTAGGTCTTACCCAGTGGAACCCAGTAGAACTTGAACGCTGAAATACCCATGTTAAACGGAATACGAAGTTTGGAAAGAAGACCTAGTGGGGTGGCTCGTGCGGGCGACAAAATTAATGGAGACGAAAAAAGAAGTTCACAAAACACGCAATCCAGTCATGCATCGGGTGGGATTCAACAGCTTCCCATTAAGGTGTTTTGCCTGACGTTGCTCGTCAATCGATTCCATTGACAACAGAGCAGCGCACGCAAACCAAGAGGGAATGCGGGATTGTTGCAACTCCCCCAGCCGTTACTGAAAACCAGCGAACGTGCTTTCAGCATGTGTATAACGCACAGCAACGTTTAGACGTATTGCCGCTCCCACTGTCACTTTGGCCTCCACGGGGACAGCCACAGGATGCCTGTGCGTACAGAGGGACCATGGATGGCTTACGCTGCACCACCCACACACCCCATATCCGGTGTAAACCCGAAGGAATAAGACCGGGAGGCATGTGGATAGGAAGCACGTTTCAGTAAAGGAACCGGCCCATACTCCTTCAACAAATAGAACGGAAACATTCCTGCATAATTGGGAAATCATGCACACCAGACGTGCTTAAGACAGTCGCTGGGCCGTAGCCCGAACCACCCTTTGAGCCTAGCACCGTCACGAGGACGGTGCATCCCGACCCCTCCAGTAACGATCAACTGTCTCCTGGAGCCAGTAATCGAGGTGGACGGTAGTAGACAGGTAGGCACCTTGTAAACATTCACATCAGACGCAGCCACACTGGGGAGCTCAAACAACATCTACTTCTGAAATTCAAGATTACTCATCAAGCAGACAAACGTAACACATCCGCCACCTTATTGGTCTGGGTTTGTAAATCGAATGGGAATGTACGCATCATGCTTCTATTCCGTGTGCAGTAGTGTCTTCTCCTGTACCTGGGCAACCGTCCTCTTGATCAGTCCACAGAATTCAATCAAATTTCCCTTGGATTCGCAACACCTGAACTCAAAATTAATTTGTCATAAACTCACCTTCATGCCATGGTAATGTTATTTTCGGTTTGCCCCAGTGTCACTTCCCTGCATTAAGTTGGCCGTACAAAAGCGGGATAAGTATCCTCGTCGAATTCATTCAGTATACATATATACATGGATGGGCGTCATCCGAGTCCACTGGTAGTTCGAATACAACAGATGCACATGCGTTTGTCCAAGCTTAATTATGATCTGCCACAAACTGGATAGAGACAGATAGAACCTCATGAACAATAGTACCACAATCGTCCATGGGTTTCGTTTAGAGGTCAGGCTAACAACCATTTCGCAAGCATGAGAATAAGTACCCAATACGAACCGTTGGTGTTTCCTTTAACAAGTAGACGTGAACATGAATGACAGCCTTAAATCTTGGGCATCCATATCTGAACGAAACCGAAATAGGAGTAGTGAAGCAGCTACCATCAGTACGGTTACCGGGGAGAATGATAAATAAACAAGTGGTACGGTAAAATAGTGTGTACTTGGGTGTTGCCTCCCATATATACAGTCTGGTTTGCGTAGCTAATTGGGGAAATCGCACAGCGTGCGAATGCGACGGGGTGTTCACTTCAGCCTATCCGTGTCGCCGACCGGTCCGATCATCTGCTGCCTGAGGTACGTGCGGATTTTCAAAGAACGATTTTTGCGCAACTTTAAGCATTGTCAGGGAGCAATACAACGGTTCCGTTGGCAGGAAAACTAGCGCTGTACTACATCAACTAAGTCCCGCTGCCTACATTCAAACATGCGGCTTTGCAAAAGTGTTCGCGCTGTTTTTTAAATGTTCAAGACGTAGCATAGCTGTCATCCAAGTACTCAACCGTTTGTACATACCGCTGTGTACTCTGCTGTGGCCCTAAGCTATTTGGTAACAATTTGCATCTCACGTCTCGGGTGCAGCCATTCGGTCCTCCTAAAACAATTGTCACTATGCGCCGATTCCTGTCCCATGAAATGTATTAAGACACTGAGGTATCATTACAGCTGGCATTACATATCTCTTAGTCTACCCAGATGATTGGCTATGTGCAATTTAACTTCTGGTAGGCGTCTCTGCGCTTCCGCCTTCAGACTACTTGGTACTTGCGTTTTCATAAGCCCCCGTAAATTCAGTATCGCTCATGCACAACGGGAAATATAGCTATGCTCAATCTCACACTCACCAGTAGAACGGAACATGAACTGATGACACCATGAAAATCGCTAGTCAAAAATGTCGGGATCGTGCACTTACCACGGATATATATATATATATATATATATATATATATATATATATATATATATATATGGCAGCAGAGCTTATGGTGCGCTGAGGCTGGTGGTGGCTAGATCCTGACAGATGGTCTACCCACTGCTGCTACTGTTGCGCCATTGGCTCACGTCCTGGGCGCCTCCTCGTGGCGACCGCTGGAAGGGAGTTGGGTTTCGCCCTTCTCCCTGCTAGCATCCAGGACACCAATCCGCATGAGTCAGTGAACTGACCATGTGCTAGACCCGCTGCATTTCGGGTGTTCATTTAATTGAAGGCTATGGCTGAGGACCCGAGTCGTTCTCCTGTCAGGTGTGGGCGCCCAGCCAGTATCCTAGTCCATCCTCTTCGGAGGTTAGGAAGTGGTCGATGGCTCTCTTCCCGTAAAACCTAGTCATGAGAGACAACAAGTCTACGGGTTATAAGCTCACAGCTCGATTATCGTAGAGCACAAGCGCCACGCATTGTCTCTGACGGTGGGAGGACACCTCCGGGTGTTCAATGGTTTGATACTGCCCGCCTCAAGATAGGCAGCCCCTGGTCAAATTGGTGCAAACCCACCAAAACCCACCTGCGTCTGGCCGTGGTCGCAGGTGTATCAAACTACGGTCGCAAAATATATGTAAATCGTTCCAGTACATCCAAGGCTGCTTGTGACGGCCGTCAAGCAGATCCCAATCTGTCTGTGCAATCACATTCCCGAGCTGGATCTGCTTCCCACTGCCTTGTGGGTCAGGTTATTGAGCCAAAGGCTCCGGGCGGAGTTCCTCAAACAAACCTCCGAAGCACAATGACCACCTCGCGTGCGATTGCCCACCAATGCAATCGTATACCTGCGCGCAAAGCACTCAGCATCGGGTGCTGGAACGTGCGCACACTAATGGACCGGAACTCCAGCGAGTGCCCCGAGCGACGCACTGCACTGGTCGCAATGGAGCTGGCGCACTACCACATCGATATTGCGGCGCTCAGTGAAACTCGGCTCGCTGAGCAAGGTAATTTGCATGAAGCAGATGCTGGCTACACATTCTACTGGGTGGGCAACGCCGCCTCAGCAACACGGGATCATGGGGTCGGATTTGCAATATCCGATCGCCTCCATGGCCAGCTGGCGGGCGAACCAACAGGCATCACCGCGCGACTGATGACTGCTCGCCTACGACCCGGGAAAGGTAAGTTTGCCACTTCATAAGCACATACGGTCCGACCATCTGTTATCCTGATGACACGCGTGATCAATTCTACACTCAGCTATCCTCTGTGATACCGTCCGTGCCGAAAAGCGACCGATTATTTCTGCTAGGTGACTTCAACGCCCGCGTTGGGTGTGATGCATCGGTGTGGATAGACGTTATCGGTCAGCATGGCATTGGTTCAGCAAATGCGAACGGTGACAGGATGCTCTCACTGTGCCATTCACGGCCTGACGATCACGAACACTCAGTTGGCACTGAGTGCGAGTGATATAGCAACTTGGACGCACCCACGGAGTGGTCACGCTCACCTGCTCGACTATGTCATCGTACGTCAGCATGATATGCGTGAAGTGCGCATGACACGTGTACTGCGTGGAGCTGAGTGTGGCACCGATCACAAATTGGTGCGCACCAAACTGTACATATATTTTCATAAATCTATATATTGCACTTCCGCCGTGAATCGGTGTAAATTTAACATTCTCTCCCTCGGTACTGTGGCGAAACGTACTGGGCTGGAGAAGGCGATGGCTGCACGCCTGTGTGATGTGGACTGCATAGCCACAGTGGGCGACCTGTGGCACCACATTCGCGACCAGCTGACAGCCGCTGTCGAGGAGACCATCAGACGCGCAAACTTCAAGCGGCCTGATTGGTTTGTGAGAACAATGCGACGATTGGCGCATTGGTGTCGGGGGAAAATGCAGCATTTGCTGCACATGTCGCAGATCCCAGTGACTCGGGGAAGAATAGTTAGTTTTGCAAACTTCGACGGCGACTGACCCGAGAGCTCCGTCGCATTAAAAATCCATGGTGGATGGAGAAGGCGAAGCAGATGGAATGCTACGCCGAACGCCGCCAACACAAGGAATTCTTTGACTCCTTGAAGGCGGTGTATGGACCGAGATTGGAGCCGCTGAGGACAATGATCAATGGTAGTTCAGGCGCTACCTGCACACAGACTGCAGACATAATGCAGATTTGGAAAAAACCCTTTGACTGTCTCTTGAACAACCGTTCAGAGATCGACTGGCCTACATTGAACGGCCTCAAGCAGCACGATGTGAAGGCGAGTCTGGCGGACACTCCGACACTGGATGAGACGCAGAGGACACTTGCTCAGCTGCGAAACGACAAGTGTGCCGGGGCCGACGGGATCCCGCCTGAAGTATTGAAACACGGCGGACCCGCGTTGTTGAGTGCGCCGCACCACTTGGTGCAACGTGTATGGATTGAGGAGGAGGTGCCTCCTGAGCTGAAGGATGCCCTTGTGCTACCACTGTACAAGGGGGACGGTAGCAAACAACGATGCACGAATTATCGTGGCATCAACTTGCTGAGTTGTGTGGGCAAGGTGATTGCACGAATTCTGCTCAACCGCCTCGACAGTCAGGTCGTGGAACCTAACGTGTCGGAAGAGCAGTGCGGATCCTGTTCAAGTCGCAGCACTATAGATATGGTGTTTGCGGCTCGTCAGTTGCAGCAGAAATGCAGAGAACGGCACCAGCCATTGTACTCGCTTTTTGTTGACTTCACCAAGGCATTTAATACGGTGAATCGCGAGGCGT